TTGATATTTCTCTCCCTATCTCCTTCCTTTCCCCTCTAAAGATAAATAAATAAAATGAAAAAAAAAAGTCAATTAACACACTTATGACAGCATGGATGGACCTAGAGAGTTTTATACTAAGTGAAATAAGTCAGAGACAGACAAATACCATATGTGGAATCTAAAGAGCAAAATAAATGAAACGACAAAATAGAAGCAGACTCATAGATACAAAGAACAGAATGATGATTGCCGGAGGGGAGGGGAGTTAAGTGGCTGGATGAAAAAGATGAAGAATACTCACAAAATAGTCCTAGGGAGATAATAAAGTACAGCACAGGAAATACAGTCAACAGTGACAATGTGTATGGTGACAGATGGGTACTTGAAATATTAGGAGGAACCACTTTGCAAAGGATATTACTATCTAACCACTATGCTGTACACCTAAAACTGATACAAAATGAATGTAAACTATAACTGAAAAATAAAAAAATTTTAAGACCAATATTAAATAATTTTTAAAAAATCAAAAAAAGATCTGTAGAATATCCAACTATTGGGAAATTAAGCAATACTCTTCTAAATGTCTCATGGGTCAAAGAAGAAACCATAATGAAACTTAGAAAAGTATTTTGAACAATATATAAAAATTTATGGGTGTTAAGCAAAGCAGTGTGAAAGCAGTATGTAGAGCTCTATATGTATAGCTACAAGTATAACTCGAAATACTCAAAAAAAATATTTAAAAATGACCTAAGTATCTACTATAAAAAATGAAGAGTAAGTTAAAACCAAAGTAAGCATAAGAAAGGAATTATAAAGAAAATTTTTTTAAAAGATGTGCAGTGGATATAAAACAAAGCCAAAAGATCAATAGCATTATTATTAAATCCCTACATACAGTACAAGACCAAGAGAAAAAGAAAAAATACAAATGACCAAAGCCAGAACAAAGTATGGAATCATTACAGATCCTATAAGCATTAAAGGATAATAAACTAATTGAACAATTTTGCCAATAAATTGGATAACTGGTTGAAATGGGCGAATTCCCTCAATGACAAACTACAAAAACTGGCAATCTGTAAGTGTGTACACATTTAGGAATGTTATGCCTTCTTGATGAATTGATGCTTCTGTAAATATAATATATAATTAAATTCTTCCCCAAGAAATACACATAATTAAAAACCTTTCCTCCCCTCCAAAAAAATTAAAATTCTCAGTGGCATCCTGGTGAGTTCTAGTAACACTTAAGTAATAAATAACACCAATCCTCCATACTCAAAACAAAATTTAATAGGAACTAACACATCCCAATTCATTTTTTGAGACCAGCATTATCCTGATACTAAAACCAAACAGAGCATTTCTAAAGAGCAATTCCCTCATAAACGTAGACGTAAGAACATTTAACAAAATATTACCAAACTGAGTTCTTAACCAGTATTGCTCAGCTGGTTGGGCAACATCCTACAAAGCGAAAGGTTGTCAGTTCCGCTGTGCGCCAGGGCACATGCCTGAGAGCCTGAGTTGTGGGACATGTTTATCTCCCACATAGATGTTTCTCTTCCTCTCTTCTCTATCTAAAAATAAATAAAACCTTTAAAATATTAACTAAATGTGAAATCCTACAAAGAAAATCAACGTACATGGAACCTGACTTACAAAATAAACTGATCTTATCTTTCTTCAAAAGAATCTTGCGTTTAGCCCTGGCTGGTGTGGCTTAGTGGATTAGGCTCCAGCTTGAGAACCGACAGATCACAGGTTCGATTCCTGACCAGAGCATATGCCTGGGTTTCCCGCCTGGCTCCCAGTTGAGGGCGTGTGGGGGACAACTATTCGGTGTTACCTCTCACACATTGATGTTTCTCTAAATGCAAAAAAGGCACTAGTAAATCAAGCACACCCTCAACCAGAGTATTTCCTTCCCTCTGTACTAATTTTTGGGTTGAGCCATCACTAGATGTTTAGTTCTAAGAATGTGTTTTGGGGTGTTTGTGGTAGAATGTGGAGTCTGACATAATACCTGATGTCAAGTTCAAGTTCATGAGCAGATAATCGGATTTACTTTAGAAATACTACACTACTTAAGACAACAATAGGCGCCAAATACTCTTTTTGTCTTGCATTTTGCTCGGAGTTTAGTTTAGTTTGCTCGAAATACGTTTAGTTTAAAAAGTATTCCAGGTTTTGTGTGCGTGTGTATGTGTGTTTTAAAAACACCGTGACCTTGAAAGAATTCCAGTTCCCCCAGCCAGTCTCAGGAGGGTCTTCCGGTGACGGTCCCCGCACCAGATGACTCTAGCTAGTAGGGGCCGAGGGGTCACCACCTCTGGGGAAACCGTCGGGGTTTGGGGCATTTGGGTTCATTTCGACACAAAGCACCACCGTCCCCTGCGGGGCGGGCCTAACGCCTGGCCCAGCACTTACCTCTAAGCTCACCGCACGCGGGGAAACAGCTACAGCCAACAGGAGAGTCTTAAGATCTGAGGAGGGGACTCGTCCAAGGTCACGCGGGAGACCGGACTCGCTCTCGCGGAGCCTCTCACCTGCTCAAGCTCACGGCGACCCGCCCCGAGGCTCGGACGCCCCGGGCAGAAAACTCCCCTGAAGTTTGCACTTCCCGGACAACGACGGGGTCTTGCGGGGGCTCGGCCTCTTCAGACTTTACCCCGCGTCAGCCCAAAGACCCAACAAACGCCTTCGCAAGGTCCCCGACGACCCGCTGCGCCCTCCCGGCGCCCCGCCGCGTCGCGTCCCCGTCCCTGCCCCAGCGCTCACCAGCACCACGCAGCGGCCCAGGGCATCCTTCTGAGCGTCGGGAGGGACGATGGTCACTGGAGAGAGGCCCGGGTGCAAGAAGTGAACCATGGCAACTACGGCCGGCGAAGCGTGAGGAGCGAGAGCGGGCGTCGAGCGGGAGTCCGAATTCCACAGAAGGTGGGGCGGACGAGTTCCGCGAAGCTGCTGAACCGCGCCGGGTCCGAGAGCCACGCACGTCTGAGAGCCGCGCACGCACCGCCTGCGCGGGTGCTGATAACCAGGCTTTTGAAACGCCCGGCGCAGCGACGCGCACGCGCCCGCAGCCGCCTCACCCGGCGCCCGCAGAGGTCGGCGCTCCGCAGACCCGCCCCCCGGAGGAGCCCTCCCCCCTCCGCCCCGCGGACCACCACGGCACCCTATCAGGCTCGACGGTCCCTCCCCACCTACCCAGCGCCCGGAGACCGCTCTCCGCACGAACTCCGAACTCCCGCAACTCAGGCTCTGCCCCGCGAGCCCGGCCTCCCTCTGTCCTACGCCTCGCGGCTTGACACCTCAGTAGTCTTGTCGCTCAGAGGCCTGCGTGCCCGCGACCAGCTTATGTAGTTGGGAAGTAGAACAAGTATTTTTAATACTTGAAAATATATTTTTGGCCCTGACAGGTGTGGCTCAGTGGATTGAGCGCCAGCCTGCGGATTGAAAGGTCGCTGTTGGATTCCTGGTTTATATGCTGGTGACAATAATCCCCCCAAAAGAGTGAAAAGATGATAATGCAGGAGAAAAAAAAAAGATGTTGCTAGATGATGTCTTTGAACAAGCAGGAGGGGATGAGACTTAGTGCACACGTCCAGGGGTTGGCCTTCATTGTCCTTAGTAATGGGAGGGAATGCAAAGACAAAGAGCCTGTACTGGTGGACAGATGTAATAGTGGAGGTTTAAGACATTCGTTTTTGATTGTTTTTCTTTCTGATTAATGCTTCACAAATTTGCACATTATCCTTGTGCAGCAGCCATGCTAATCTCTGTATCATGCCTGGGTTGCGGGCGGGTCCCAGGTGGAGGAGTGTGAGAAGCTACCAATTGATGCCTTTCACAGGTCGATGTTTCTCTCCCGCTCTTGCTCCCTTCCCCTCTCTCTAAAATAAATGAATATAATCTGAAAAGAAAAGAAAAGAAAGAAAGAAGAGCCTTGGCTAGTACAACTCAGTGGATTGAATGCCAGCCTGCGAACCAAAGTTTCTCCTGGTTCAATTCCAGGTCAGGGCACATGCGTGGGTTGTGGACTAGGTCCCCCCATGAGGGACTTGAATGAGAATCAGCCTCAGAATGATGTTTCTCCCACTCTTTCCTTACCCTCTCTCTATAAATAAATTAATAAAGTCTTTAAAAATATATATAACTAAAAAATTAAAAATATATTTGTTAAAGACTTTTCCCCTGAAAAATCTGGCACCAGCACCTCTCATATCAGTCCTCTCTGCTTCAACTCCTGATTACATTAGGTGGCTCAAATATGAGGCTCTTTTAACCTTTTAAGTAACAAAATGAACTAAGCTTTCTTGTTCCCTAAAAAGTACCAAGAAAACCCTTATAACGTGCTCCAAGAGAACAATAAATTACTACACTTTAGCTAATCAAAATGAAAATCTGCCTTGGAAAAGGATAGTTCTGGGCCCTGGATTTGAATGTTAGTTTGGGTTGCCTCTCTGCCTCCTTACTAACTTCTGAGCCTTGCGCAAGATTCTTAATGCTTCTGAAGCTCAACCTCCCAAAGTAAAATGGGATGAGAATTCCTCACCTCTCGAGGTCGATGTGAGGATTAAATAAGATAATGTATGTAAAACACATGACAATGCTTACAAAGCAAGTCCTTGATTAGTGGATTCAAATGTTAAAATTGTTTTTCAAGTACAAATAACTGCAAAATGCTTTTCTTTCACATTTATTCTTTTACTTAATCCTCATACAAAAAAAATTCTGTAGGTATCTCCTGTAGGCTATATAGGTATCTCCATTTTATCCATAGAGAAACTGAACGCCTGAGAGGTTGTATAGACAAACTGTTTTACCCTCCTGATAAGTGGAAAATCTGGGAGTCAAAATCGAGTTTTCTAAACTCCAAGTCCAAATCACTATTCTTTATTTTTTAAGTGGACTATTTCATAAGCTCCCCTCTGTCCTCAAACTTGAAACACCTCCTTTCCCCACCAAACCCTCAACTTCCTCTTTCCCTGAAAAAAAGAAAAGCGATTGTGCTTGTTTGGGCAGCCACATATACTATTTTTGGAATGATACAGAGATTAGCATGGCTGCTGCACAAGGATAATGTGCAAATTTGTGAAGCATTAATCGGAAAGAAAAACAATCAAAAACGAATGTCTTAAACCTCCACTATTACATCTGTCCACCAGTACAGGCTCTTTGTCTTTGCATTCCCTCCCATTACTAAGGACAATGAAGGCCAACCCCTGGACGTGTGCACTAAGTCTCATCCCCTCCTGCTTGTTCAAAGACATCATCCAGCAACATCCTTTCTGTCTCCTGCATTATCATATTTTCCCTCTTTGTTTTTGGATTATTGCCACCAGCATATAAACAAGCTGATATTTTCCATAATCAAATAAGAAAAGAATGCTTCTTTTTCTCTAATTTCCCTGTTCAGGTATTATCTCCATACCTCTACTACCTTGCTGTCTCCAATTTTTCTCCTACCAATTTCTTTCATCCCCACCATTCCATTAAACCATTCTTGCCAAGAACTGCCATTCCTCATCTTAATTTGACTGTTTAGCAGCATTTGACGCAAATGGCTACTTTTTTTCCCTAAAGTTCTCTATTTAGTTTCCAGGACACATCTTGACCTCCTCCTCCCTGTTGCTTCCTCTTTCTTCTTTCTTTCCCTTCTCCTCCTGCCTCATGGGCTGCTCCTTCTAATCTTCCAGATCCTTTACCACCCAGATTTTAAATATTTGTGTAGCCCAGGAATCTATCCATTCTCTTTTACTTGTGGTGATTTTATCTAGTTTCATAACTTTAAAGTCAATCTGTGTTCTCAAATATTCTTATTTTATATGTCTAGCCTAAAGCTCACTTTTAAACTTCAGAGTCCTATATCCTGCTGTCTATTCAACATGTCCACCTTCTTATCTAAATAGCCTTAATGTATCAAAAGCAGACTCTCAATGGTTTCCCCTCGACCTGCTTTTCCTACCAGTCTTTCCCAATTTGGTTATGGTGACCCCTTCCTTTCAGTGATTTATGACAAAAACCTTGGAAATCATTTTCAACTCTTCTATTATTCTTATATCCCATATCCTTTTAAAAAATCTTGTTGGCTCTATCTTCACTTTTTTAAATTGATTTTAGAGAGAAAGAGGAAAGGGAAGAGAGAAACATCAATTTATTGTTCCACTCATTTATGCATTCATTGGTTGCTTCTTGTATGTGCCCCAACTGGGGATGGAACCTACAACCTTGGCTTATTTGGATGATGCTCTAACCAACTGAGCTATCCAACCAGGCTGGTTGGCTCTGTCTTCAAAATATATTCAGAGACTGTCTGTGTCTTACCTCTTCCATCACTGCTATTCAGGTCCAAGCTTCTGTCATTACCCACTTTTTACAGTATTCTCCTGTCTGGTTTCCCTGCTTCAACTCTTGCTCCATTAACAGCCACTCTCAATATAGGAACTGGAGTGATCAATTTAAATGATCATGTCACTCTTCTGCCCCGAACTCTCTAATAGCTTCCCATCTCATACAGATTTAAAAAAAAAAAACAAAACAAAACACAGTAATGCTCTACAAGATTCTATATAATCTGTCTTCTCCATGCCCTTCTATCACCTCACCTTCTGTCACTCTTTCCTTCGCTTATTCTACTCCAGCACTATTGGATTCCTTGCTATCCTTTATGGAAGGCTCTTGTTTCCTTCAAGGTGTTTTTTTTTTCAAAGATGTTATTTATTTTTCAGAGAGAGAATAAGGAAGGGAGAAAGAGAGGGAGAGAAACACTGATGTGTAAGAGAAACGTCAATTGGTTGCCTCATGCATGCGCCCCCCCCCCCCCAAAAAAAAATTGGAGATCTGGCCCACAACCCAGGCATGTTCCCTGACAGGGAATCGAACCAGCAGCCTTTTGTTTCACAGGTCAGTGCTCAATCCACTGAGCCACACCAGTCAGGGGTAAGTTACTTCAAGTTTTGTTCAAATGTTGCCTAAGGACTTCTCTCACTATGGACTTCTCTCACTATGATGTATTAAATGGAAATCCTCACCACCATCAGCACACCCTCCCTGTATTTCTTATCCCTTTTATCCTGCCTGCATACTTAACACTGTTTGTCATGCTATATATTTAATTTGTTTATTTTCTTCCTCTTCCCCCTAGGAAAAAACTGTAAACCACAGGAAATCAAGGACTTTGTTTTCTTGTATCTCCAGGCCTAAAACAGAGCCTAATTTATGCAAGGTGATCAATAATATTAGTTTAAAAAATACATACAATTGTTAACTGGAACAAATGAATTATAGCTGTTGGGGGAAATTTCTCTCTGAAATCAGACATGGTTGTGTCTATGTAGAGAGGCAAATTTTGGAATAACCTGTTCCTCTACCCTTTCCATCCATAATCTCCTCTGTATCTATCTCATACCTATTCTCCAGTTTTCTCCATCAATCTAACAAATCATTTCTGAGGATTTAGTTCATACTCTTAGTTGGCCTGTTACCAGACTCATTCCTTCCAATCTTCTACCTAAAACATAAATCTGGTCCGTTCTTCCCAGTTTAAAACACTTGCATGACTCCCCATAAACCTCAGAAATGAGAAGTAAATGTCTTAGCATGGTTTCAGATGGGCCTTCATGGTCTTGACTCCTGGTTACCTCTCAAACTTAAACCATCAATATTCTCGTTATAACCTTTCTTTTGGTCATTATGTACTGAGATTGTTTCAGTTCTAGAAATGTACTTTTGTATATTTATTGTTGTCCGCTAATAGGTATTTCCTATTAATCCTTCGGGTCTCATTTAGATGTCACTTTCCCTAGAAAGCCTTCACATGCATAACCCACTCTCTTCCAGCCAACTCGATAGAATAGATAGGGTAAGTATAGTGCAGATACAGATAAATTGGGAAGTTTAAGGAAATTAAACTTCTGAAATGAAGTTAGAAAACAATAGTTAAGATCTCTTTAAATCATGGTTACAGTTCTTTAAGAACTTTGTATAAAAATTGTTCTTTATTAATTTTACAGAGAAAGGAAGAGAGGGAGGGAAACATCAGTTTGTTGTTCCACTTATTGATATATTCATTGGATGGTTCTTATACGTGCCTGACCAGGAACTGAACCACAACCTTGGTGTAGCAGGATGACACTAATGAACTGAGCTATCTGGCCAAGAGATGAACTTTGTAAAGTTTTTAAAGCTGTGTTGCCATGAAGTACAGGGAAAGATCGTGAGCTTTGATGTCAAAAATCCTGAATTCAAATTTTATCTCCACCTCTCCTTTAGGTAATTACTTAAAGCTCCAGTTTCCTCTTCTGGAAAATGAGATAAATAACATCAAACTTGCAGAATTTCAAAAACTAAGAGACTGTCTACTGCCTGATGTTTTATTTTTGTCTTCTCAGATGGGATGCTTTCTAAGAGAGCGGGTTCTGTTTTTGTCTCTTTCTGGGCATCAAAAACACAAAACATTAGCTGTGAAGATTTGTGACTTGTGTTATCTTTGGTTTGTTTCTCCCACTGATCAGCAGTAAAACCGTTATTGTAGAAAGGGCCTGCCCGGGAAATGAAGGCACTGGAACCTTACAGGGGTGTCAGCAGCCCTAACACAGGAAAGGGTTAGGAGGTCTTCCTGGAGGATTATTGGTAAAGGTAATACAATAAAGTAATGAATTTGTCGAGAAAGGGCTCCTGGGGAACCAAATTAACTAGGGAAATGGTCCCCTGGGACTATTTCACAGATTCTTGCTGTCCTTACTTAAAGCATCACCTGTAGGCAGAAATGAGTAAAATAAGGACAAGTGATACATATAAAACTAAATGCATATGCAGGTATTTAAGGGATTTTCCTGACCTCGCCCGGTGTGACTCCGTTGGTGGGAGCGTGGTCCCCTACCCAGTCAGGGCCTATATGGGGAGGCAACTTACTGATGTTTCTCTTCCTTCCTTCCTCTAAAATCAAGAAATTAAATACATTAATTAATTAAATAAAGGATTGTCCTTTATTCTGACATGATGTCCTCCTATTTCTTGGTGTTAACAATTTTTAAAAATGAACTTACTGGCCCTGGCTGGTGTAGCTCAGTGGATTGAGCACAGGCCTGCAAACCAAAAGGTCGCTGGTTCAATTCCCAGTCAGGGCACATGTCTCTCTCCTTTCCTTCTCCTGTGTCTAAAAATAAGTAAATAAATAAAATCTTTTACAAAATGAACTTACTGTGAGCCCTGTTGGGAGGAAAAACCCCTCTGCCAATTTAGGTCCAATTGGTGGATCTTGAATTAACTGATAATAAATAAACGGGAGAAAAATTTATTTCTAGCAATACCCTATAGAAACTAGCTCCAAGAACACCTAGAGGCAAAGGTTTATATGCTGGTACCACCGAGAAGGAGAGTAGTTTAGAGTTTCAAAGGATTGAAGGGTCGGATGAGTGTTGTTTACACATTCCAACATTTTGGAATGTCCTGGTGCCTGCAGTCAGTGCCTTCCTGACTGAAGATCTCCCTGAAGGTACATGGGATTTGTGGCAGCTGATTTACATACAGATCGGTTCTAGTTAGATAAGGGATGTCAAATAAGATTTCTTTCTGTAATTTCTGTAGCTTAGATCTTTTCACACTGAGATGTTTTCTATAAGGAGTTTCAGTTTCATGGGTTATTGATCTCTTTAGCCCCACCCAAGAAATTTTCTCCCCCAATATGTAAAATGGTACTTTTTTTTGTAGGGCCAGTGAGGCAAAAAAATCGTAAACTTGGAAAGCTGTCAATGGGGTCAGTTCTTTGAGATAGGCAAAAAAAGTGCGTAGAAATAGCCTTAATAGTTACATTGGATTTTTCCCCTTTATAGCTCAGGTTTAAGAGTATAGATTTCAGACTTGGCTCCTGGCCTGGTATCTTGATTAGAGCACCACCCCAATACAATGAGGTTGCAGATCCCATCCCAGTCGGTGCACATACAAGAATCAACAAGTGTGCCCTGGCTGGTGTAACTCAGTGGATTGAGCACAGGCCTGTGAACCAAAGGATCCTTGTTCAATTCCCAGTCAGGGCACATGCCTGGGTTGCAGGCCAGTTCCCAGCAGGGAATGCACGAGAGGCAACCAAACATTGAGATTTCTATAAAAT